GTGTAGGCTCCGGCATCCCTCACCCGCTGGGAAGCCTTGGCCGGCTCCCAGCCTCCGGCACAGCCCGTGGGTCCAGTTTCCGTCCTCTGCCCTGTGCAAATGCTTGCACCGAGGGCTTTTGGATGCTGCGAAACCCCAGGAGGGGAGCAGCTCCCCACGGCACCATCTCCAGCGCAGAGCAGGGAAAATGGGGGGACGTCTTGGCAGTTTGAGAGGTGGGTAAATGTCCCATGGTCTAGGCACTGAAACCAGGTGGGTGAGGAGATTGGGAATGTCTCCGGGGCAGTAGGGATGCCGATGGGGGCATTGAAGGCAGCCGGGCTGTTGTGCCAAGTGCCAGCAGGAAGAGCACAGCTCCATCCCTCCCCACGGCACACGGCCAGGGTCCGAGCCCTTCCCACGGGGCCCTCCCCGCTTAACTGCTGCGCATCAAAGCGGCTGCAAAGACCTTTCCTAGCAGCAGAACCAGAGCCGTGCACAGAGAGAAGGGTGAAATCCAGCTCCTTACGACCAAGCAGCCGGAGAGCAGAGGCCGGAGCAGCTCCCGGCTCCCCAAGGAGCCCCTTAAACCGCACAACTCAGGGAAACCCACAGCCCTGGTACAGGAGCTCTGGGGCAGGGGTGGACCGGCTGCAGCCTGGCAGCAGAAATTAAGCTGGTTTGCTTCTAAGTAGAAGCCAACCATTAACTGATTGGTGCTGTGAAAGGAAGCAAGCCTTTGCAATTCCATTAAACTCTCCCACCCCTCTTAAAAATCCCAAAGCAGGCTCTGGAGATGAGGGATGGTCTTCTCGCTGCACCCCGGTCTTACCTGGGGCTGCTCAGACCTTTCCTGCGGGTTCCTCTTCAGCTGGGCAGCATCACAGCTCCGACCAGGAAGGAAAACCTTGCAAGAGGCAGAAAATCACCCCTGCCCTTTGCAGTGAGAAAGGGGGTTCTGCTCGGGGTCTGAGGTGGCCTTTGGGCACCAAAGCTGTAACAACCCACACGCTGACGTGGGCTCAGCTAGCCAAGATATCTTAATTTAAACTGTTGCTTAAAATGGCTCCATCCATCCTGAGCAGGATCAGGGCTGCTTGGGCAGGATTTAGCATCTTGAGCTGAGGAGCTGCTGGGAGTCCAGGGCTGTATTTTTATACCTGTCTCACCTCGGTGAGATGCTGCTGCCTGAGCAACCCCCACCAGCTCAGCTGAACCCCCCTAAGCCCCCTCCCAGCTCCCTTTATACGCAGGTGAATTTGCTGATCAGGTAAACCTGGGAGCTGCTTTGGCCAGGGGCACAGATGCCCGTAACCGTGCAGGTGCATTAAACAAACTCTGCAATCCCACCCTGAGAGATGCCTTGGAGCCTCCAGCCCACCTTCTCCTCTGGGCATCGCGATGCCAAAGCCTCACGGCTCTGGCGAGCTCAGGGCAGCGTTAGCCGAGGAGCTGCAAAAACCAGTTTCCTGAATTCCACATGAAACCTGACGGCTCCCTTATCTTCTACAGGTTTTTTTGGATGGTTGCTTTTACATGCTTTCTGAAGTACAAGGGCCAGCTGGCCTGTGGGATCTGGGAAAGGGCACTTTTAGTCCCCGGATCAGCTATTTTCATGGCAAAAGGGCTTGAGTTTGGTCCCAAAGCAGATTGTGGGAGGCCGCGTTCTCCATTTAAAGCAACCATTTAGGCAGAGTCCCAAAGGTCACTTTGCTTCCATCCTTAAACATGAAAATACGGAGCAGATGAAGGATCCCAGCTGTTTCCTCTGTGCTGGGCGCATCCAGCCGGGAAGCACGAGCTGAGGATCCCGATGCGGAACACGAGGATCCCGATGCTGAACGCTGCGGAGCTGGAGCTGGGCTCTGCGCTTGCAGCGTCCTCCCAACCCTGGTGTCACCCCGGCTGCGTCCATCCCTGCGAGGGGCCGGGACCCGCTCCGAGCC